GAATTATACATAAAGTAGCTATGGTTATTGTGACGGATCGGGCAATCTTGTGTCAGCTGGCAGTCCCCATTTCAGCAGATAGTTTTGCGACATCACGCAATCATGATTTGTGGCAGCTGGCTTGCCTCTTAAACCAGGTGATCCAGCCAATCCAGAAGTATCTGAACGAGTGCTCCAGGTCACTCGTTGACAAACGAAAAGATCTCGGAGGAGACACCGACAATGAAGACAAAACTATCACGGCAGGTGGAGAAGTTCATGGAACTTATGATCCCCTCGAGTGATAACGATAGTCAACTTTTAAAAATAGAAGTTCAAGAAAAGGAAACGAAGACGACCAAGAAAACGAAGTTCAAGGAAACAACGTTCAGGAAATCGCGTTCCCGTGCACGTAAAAACAAAGACGTGGGCAAGAAGAAATTGTGACACATCACGAAACCAGGCTTGATGTAAACTCCCTCACGAAATCGCTTGCTGCCTCACCTGTTGCAATCAATATTTTTGAACAGGCTTCTATCAAAGATCTAATCCCTATGAAACGTTGCAGGATGATTTCAGCTTTTCTGACTCGGTATTCTATCACTGTATGCACACTGTTTCCTTATCTGACATGAAGGTGGACAATTAGTATTTCCTGAGCTTAAATTGGCTATTCATGTTAAACAAGGTCAAGCAGTGACCTCTTCTAGTTCATAGTGTCGTATTTTTTATACATGGCACTATGATTAAGCAAAATAGAAAATTTAGCTCTCTATTTGATGATTCAGATTCAAATAGAGATAATGTAAAAGCCAGATCATCAAAGCTGGATTCATGATTATAAAAGTGAAGAATTCAAGATGAAGTTATCTTGATAAGTGTAATTGTTATATTAAAGTTATATATGACTCATATAGCTAATTTTGAAGTCTAATATTATATTTCTATTCAATAAAGATCTAGAATCTCATAGGATTTTTATTTATCATTTGCAAATTTAATTTCCAATTTGAGATGTTAATTAAGTATAAAGACTGTCAAGTATTTGAAAAGAGTTCAAGCAAAGGATTATATTGTCTTTGTTATTTTTATTTGACTACTGGAATGATTGATAAAATAATAAATAATTAATATAAAAGAAGTATTTCAATATTTTTATCTTGTGTAATTGTATTAAATATAATAGATATACTAGTAATATTAAATAAAATATTCTTTATAAAGAATATTTTTTATTAATTATAATGAATTATTTTTTTATAAATAATACTTGAAAATATATATATCTTTACAAGAAGAGACTTGTTAGTAAAATAATAATAATTATATTTTATTATATTATATTTATCCAGTATAGAAATATTACAAATAGCAAAATAATATAACTAGACTAGATTAAACTATAATTAAAAATAATTATTATATTATTAGTATTTATTTTGATAACTTTACTATTATAATTAAAAGTTATAGAATTATTATATTAATTAATAATAGAATTAATATTATAAAATTATAATTTATTAAGTATAAGATTATAATATTAAATATTCAAGACTTATATATTAATATCAAATAATTAATATAATTAAATCTTTTTAAGTATATCTTTCTTGAAACTATAATAAAAAAAATAAAAAGTATATATTTAGAGAATATATATATTTATAAAGATTAAAATATATAGAGTTTTTATAAGTTAAAATCAGAATATACTATATATTTAAAGAGAAGTTATATAGTATATATATTTAGAAAAAGTATATTTAAAGAGATATAACTATATATATATTTAATTCAAGTTTATTATATTAAATAATTAATTTGCTTCTTTTTTTTATCAGCAAATTTTATAATTATTAGTTTTATATTAAATATTATTAATTAATTTTTTTTGAATATAATTTTTATTAATAAAATTATAAATATTTTAATATTAAGTAAGATCTAAATAAATTTTTTATTCATTTAATTATTAAATTTCAAAAACTTTTTATAATTATTTTTAAGATAAATAAATTTAATATTATTATTTTAAGTAATACTAATATAAAAATTATTATTAATTTTTATATTAACTTTTTTTTTATTAATAATTTTTTGTAAAATAATTTAGTTTATTATCATTATAATAGACTTAATTATTATTTTCTTTATAATTATTATTATTATTATTATTATTATTATTATTATTATTATTATTATTATTATTATTATTAAAGCTATAATATAGTCTTATTTCTTATTTATATTAATTTTATATTATATTAAATTATATATTAAAATAGATAATAGATCAAAAATCATTCATATTATATTTAAAATATAAGATATAACTAGTCATCTTAAATCTATTATTAATAAAAAATTAGTTTATATAATTTAGTTTATAAACTGAATACTTATAAATAATTTTATTATATATCTTTAAAATAATAATCTGAATTGAAATTATTAATTATAATAATAAATTTACAAAAAGCTATATATATAAAAAAAGAAATTAACTTATGTATAAGTAATAGTTTGATATGATTAAGATTAAAAATAGCACAAAAAGTATGTAATACTTATTTATCACCTGTTACAATATATTGCAATTCTAAAATTTTATAAGTTATAACTAGTTGTAACTAAAAAATACTTATTTATTATCACATTATAATAGTTAAGAAGTTATCTTTAATTAAAATAATAGAATATTTACAGAATAATTTTTATAAAATAATATTTAATGATATTATTACAATAAATTGATAAATGAATTTTCACTTGAATTTATCTTAATAATATAGGATTAGGAAAGACTGAATTAATTAAAGAATAAAGAGAGAGAAATTAGACTATAACTTTTAATAATGACAAAGATTTCTAAGATCTATGTCAATATCTATGAATATTATCTTTCAAAAGATAAAATAAATAATAAAAGAAAAAATAAATCAAGAAAATTATAAAAATCAACTTAGTAAAGCTACTAATAATTA